GAACTACTTCTCTTCATACAAAATAATGGATAATTTCGGTACCCCATATGAGGCCTCATAACTAAGGGTTATTCTATGTTTAGAACATGATGGAATTTCCATGATTTGTGTGACGAGCCGAATATTGATGTGTAACGTTCAAATTTTGGTGAGTGAGCGTAATAAAAAATAATGTTTAAGTAACTACGTTTTTTGTACGGGAACTGCTCGCATGCCAGTATGGACATTTTTATTTTGTTTACATTTAAAAGCGTCTGCCTCGTATGAGATATATAATTTCTAGTTTATATTCTGTATAAAATCATATCGGAACGGCATATACCAGTCAAAATGTGCACGTTAACGAAAAAAAGGTTAATCCACTAACAATGTATTATAGTAAAACATTGCAATGAAAAATATTTATGCAATATGTACTAAATTGACGCAAGAATTACTTGTATCTGTTGGGTGTTCATCAATGGATATTTTGTAGTATTGTTGTAGTTTTAGCAAGGCACCTGGTTAAGGTTTGATTTAATAATTAAGTTTGTATAAGAATTAAGACCTCATTTGTTGTTATTATTTATTACTATAAAATTGTTGGGGTTAGACTGTGTATCAGTCTGGGAGATTTTAGTGTGGTAACTCTGTTAACAGTTACTTGCATAAATTATGGACAAGAGGCCTGCAATTGTTATGTTTAGGGAACTTAATCATTGGTAACCATTATAAATATTCCAGGAATCAGTCTGAATTGGAATATTAACTAATGATTCTTTTCAATTTGGAATATTAATTTGTAATTCTTTTCAATTGGAATATTATTGTGTAATTCTGGTTCAAATTGGATTTTAAAGTGTTTTATTTTCAGTTTAACAATCAGTGCCATTTTCTAATTTTAATTATAATATATATAAATATTAAGTTTAATATTTTGGCACTTAGAACTCTATGGTAGAGACGACTACCAAACAAATCTTATATTCAGTTTGTGCCTTTTAAGAATTTTTACACATTTGTTAAAATTTATTAAAAAATAAATAGGCACCAGGACTTTGTGTGCAAGAAATAGACAATGTGTAAAAAATTGAATTAGGATATTGTGAAATAAAAAAAAACAGGGACAACAGAACAATTATATTATATAATTAAGTAACAAAATATGTTTCATTTTAATATTAAAACACGGTGTTAAAAGTTAAACAACTGTTTAAAAACTTTAATTACTTTGTTTTAAGTATTCAATGTATAAGTATAATTGTAGTCAGAAAAAAATTGTCGTTAACAGAAGTAACATTTCTGTAAAATTAGTAATTTTCTTAAAATTTCATATTTAAATAATGCTATTTTAGTTAATACAAAGTATATATGTTCATTAAGAATGTTTTATTGTTTAACTTCTATTCATTTTGGGAGTAAGATTGGTTAAATAGTCACTAATTTTTGTTTCATTTCTATATTTTTGTTTGGTGTTGTTAACTTAATTGGGACAATTAAGCTTTTTAAGGTTGGGGGAGTGTTGTTGTTTTAGCAAGGCACCTGGTTAAGGTTTGATTTAATAATTAAGTTTGTATAAGAATTAAGACCTCATTTGTTGTCATTATTTATTACTATAAATCTGTTGGGGTTAGACTGTGTATCAGTCTGGGAGATTTTAGTGTGGTAACTCTGTCAACAGTTACTCGCATAAATTATGGACAAGAGGCCTGCAATTGTTATGTTTAGGGAACTCAATCATTGGTAACCATCATAAATATTCCAGGAATCAGTCTGTTTGTTTCTGGTACAGTTACTTGATCAACACTTGTCGTCATAAATATAGAAGGCTTAAATTTGTCAATTAACACTATGGTAACCTCCAAATATGGAGAGACAAGGTATTTCATATAAATACTGGGACAAGATTTTCTAGGGGGCAGTCTAAATTAAAAATTAAAAAACAAAATTCAAAATGCAAAAGTAAAATTGTAAGAGCTAGAGTCAAGATTCAGAATTCTAAATTAAAGTTTCAAAAATAAGATCTTAAAAGTTAAATATAAAATTCTCAGTGACTTATCAACCATGTGTGAGAAAGAAAACTCTGTAACTTTAAATATTAATTGTAAATTAAAAATTTAGGACACTTTCAAATAAATAAATGGTAAAATGAAACGGAAAACAGTTATTGTTTATTTTATGCAAATATGTAAAATTATAAAAGTAGTAAAAATTATAAATTACAAAAAAAAATTATAACAGTATTCTCCAAGAAGTTTAAATCTTCTATACACTGTGTAGTTCGCCATAACCCCTGAGTTATAGACCTCGATTCCTAATTCACTTGGTATGTTTGTTATTTCTCGTATATATCTTAGACCTGCAAATTACAACTCGTACTAAAAAAACAACAATAAACGAACAAAAGCAAATATCATCTTTCATAAAAAGTTCTTGCACAAAACAAGGTTATGCCTTCTAATTTGTATGTAGTCAAGAAACGATCAAACCTATTTTCTTTCATTTCAAAATATGAGCCGCTCTATGACAAAACCAACATTATGCGTTTGCGAATACCATGGATCCAGACCAACCTGTGCATCCGCGCAGTCTGATCAAGATCCATGCTGTTCGCTATCAGTTTCTCTACTTGTTATATGGTTCGCAAGCGAAAAGCATGGATCCTGATCCATGGCGCGGCTCATATAATCTTTCCTAAATCGTTTTTTTGTCAACAATTCCTTCTAGTTTCAACATTTATTTAAAACAAGCAATTATCATCGTATTGCAAGCAATCCATAAGTCCCCTACCGGTTAGAACCCCAGCAACATTCTGATGGGCCATTCGCCATTCAATTTAACCAGTGAATGAATGACATGAATGAACTTAAATCTTTTGAGTTCTAAGTTTGTCTATATCACAGTAATGTGTTAAGTTTCCCTGCCTAGTAAGGAAATTATGTTTATACAACCTTGTCATATTATTACGATGTGGGATTTTAAAGTAAATCCTATATGGAACGAAGACGTTGGAGTGAAAAATACAAATTTCTCGAGAAAAAAAAACGAAGTTCAAGGAGGACATAATTCTTGAAATAGTCTTGCTAGAGTATTTAACCTTCTCAAAAATGTTAAGTGATAGTACGAAACATATATATGAAGTTTGAAGTAGATACATAAGGAAATAAAGAAGTTATTTAAAAAAGACATTTTTTCATAAAAAAATCTAAGTTCAAGGGAGGTAATACTGATAATTTTTGTGCTAGAGTTGTAAACCTTGTCACATATGATGTGGTTGATAACCAGAAACTTTTATTTAAAGTTTGAAGTAAACACCTTAAGAAATAAAGAACTTATAGTGAAAAAGCTGAAAAATTTAAATCAGAAATCTTGAAATTAAGTCTATTTGTTGCCATAGCAACCAGAATTTTCAACATAGGTTTTAAGAAATAAAGAACTTATAGTGAAAAAGCTGAAAAATTTAAATCAGAAATCTTGAAATTAAGTCTATTTGTTGCCATAGCAACCAGAATTTTCAACATAGGAAGAAAAAAAAAAGATGTGCATAATTTCCAGACTGCCATCTACCCATATTTCAATTTTCATAAAAATATTTTCAGTACTTTTTGAGTTATCACTGGATCCAGTTTATGTGTTAAATTTGCAATATTTTCAGACTATTTGTTGCCATAGCAACCAGAATTTTCAACATATGAAGAGAAAAAAGACGTGCATAATCTCCATACTGCCATCTATCCTCCATATGTAAAGTTTCATAATAATATTTTCAGTTCTTTTTGCGGGATCCAGTTTTGTGGACGGACGGACGGACGGACTGACAGACAGACAGACAGACGGATGGACGGACAGACGGACTGACGGACGTATGGTAAACCTAAGGTCCCCTCCGGTTACACCGGTAGGGGACTAAAAAGCATCGTTTACTGAGATTCTGAAACGATCGCTGGATATTCAATAAATTATAGTTGGCACTAAATAAATGTTACTTTTCAAATTTCCATACCTAGCCAGAAATCACTCTCCAAGTCACCAAACCCATTCTCATACGCTTCAAAGCTTTCATTGAAAGACACATATTTGCCATTTTTACTTTCTTTCCTTTTTTGCCGCCTGTGGATTATCTTTAATACATAAACAAACCAAAGCCTCTGTGAAATACGATTATTCTATACGCTTTGACACAGCTCATAAATAAAACGGTTTTTGTGGCACAAAAAGTCACATGCAGATGTATATGTTGCCCTCACATGATCACGTAACTGTTTATGATCATTTATTATTACAAATGTATTTATGTATTTGCCGCATGTTTTGTATTATATACATATATACTAAAAAACTGATATTAAAATTATTTTCTCAGTTTAATCTATTGCCTACTAGTTACTATAATCATCATGTGATTATTATATCATCTGGTGATTATTATGATTAATGTCAGTTAAATTTTAGTATAATTATTCTTGTTCCGACACTTTTTATCATTTTATATATATATATGCTTTTTATAAAGCAATTTAACTTCAACTGGCTGCCATTTTTTGGACTATGTCCAATATACCATATGCTTAAAATACGATAGAAATCTCTCATTATATTAAATAATGAAAATAATTCACATAAATCGGCTGTTTTATTTGTATTTGCATTCTTTGTTAAATTATGTGGTATAGTGGCCCCCAAAATGCCTGGAACAATTGACAAGCGGAAGTTGGGGGGAGGGGGTAAATATAGAAAAAAGGAACTACTATATCATTACTCTAAAACTGGCTGTGTACGTGCGTGTCTAGTTGTTTGCTTGTATACGACTTACGTTAATTGTACTAAAGTCAGCAGTTAAAACAGTCTTTGTTCTGTTACGATAATAATAAACTCACTAAGGTTTCATGGTTTCATGTTCTAAAATCTAACAATCAACACGCAAGTTGGGTGATTTTGAAACAATGAGTAGGATATCGTATAACAAACTCGGTATAACCGCGGGTCACATGCCATTAAGCCATCTGTCGAAAGTCCATTTCCCTAATCTAACCATAATTAAAAAAGTCGTGGGCAAGATAAGCGAAATTCTTTCATTTAATCACAACTCCTTTCTTATTAGCTGTTAAGTAAAGAAATCATTAAAAGACTTGGAAAGTATATTTTGGAATTACAATTTGAAATGTCCAGTGAGTTATAAAAGTTTATTAACTTCTCCCTATATATAACACATTTATTTTTATTTTTTATATTACAACATAAATGTTTAACAGTGGAAACGCTTTAAAAGACAATTATGAGTTGTTATGTATTTTACCTTGCGGCGTTTATACTCGTATTGCCACATTGCAGTAAGATTATATTATTATTTTACCTTGTCACGTTTATATTGCCACACTACAGTAACATTAAAGTTCTTCCACTTTATATAACATAACAAAACAGTATAAAAGAAGAATTATTTCAGCGACCTTTTTATGATGTTTCTTTAAAATGTTTTTATCTTATTTTGTACAGTTTGACACGATTTGTATTTAGTAACTGTCTTTGTAATTTTAACATAATAATATGAGTCTTGTATGTTTTTAATTAATTTAGTTTTGAAAGTGTATGTTTTCTCAGCAGATATTGAACACATTATATATGTGATATTTTGTCATGAGTTTTATTTTATGAAGTAGTGTTATAATACGAGTGCATTAATCAGGATATTGTTTTTGATTCCTGTGGATTTATTGTAAGGAATGGAGCTCATAAAGCACGCACGTAAGAGACCAAGAAACGCTTAGAATTACACTTTGTTTAGTTTAAACTAAATATTCAACCTACCACAAAACTACCGCATGTTTTAAAGTATCTACCTTTAACAATAACGCAGCGTCACTCAGGATGTAATTCAGATTTACTTCGAGTTTCAAATAAATTTTCTAAATTTTCACAGTTCACGTACGGGAAAACTATTTCGGAGAAAAACTAAATGTTTGATTGATCATTTACACTGTCACGTCATTTGTAGTCATACTTTTAAAATTGGATATTTCGAAAAATCTAGACTAGTTCACGATTTCAAATCCAAATACCGCTTGTCACAAACAACGCACTATGTAATAAGTTTAATATGTCTATTTTACTTACGTCATTCCAATATATATTTACGCCGCCTCCAAAAGTCGCAAAGTCACCATTTGTTAGTTTATTTCAAATGAACTTTGGATTGTTACGTTGACAGTAAGGATTTATACAGTATTTTATTGTTAATACATCAATATAAAGAACAAAATAATTAACAGACGATGTTTTATATTTATTTAAGTAACATCAACTCAAACAAGGACCTCTTCACAACACTGGACCTGCTCAGGTCACTTCCGGTATAGTCAGTGTAACGACCCAGTACATCCGGGCAATACATTGGGAGTTACAGAATTCACCATATCATTTCAACGAAATTTGAGACGAATAACACGTCATTTAATTGACGAACTAGAAAACAAAACTGCAGAATTTGTGAGTATATTTGTAAACTTCGATCTTCATATACTTTGCTAATGACCCATTTTAGTAAACGTTAAACAAACATACAAAGTAGAAGTTTACATAGTTGTTGTTATGCTAAGTATACAATAACAATACAGTTCTAATAAATGGAAGTATTGCACTTAAATGATTTAGATCTATATCATTATATTTTGATTACATTATTTCCTTTAACGATGCGTTTATTCAGCTATTCATTTAAATACTTATTTCTTTAAACAGGAAACAAAAATTATACGATGTGATAACTACGTGCAACGACTTCAACAAGAAAGTTTGACAAATATTCTTGGTTTATATGATGCAGACACTTTTCACAGTGTGGTAAGTTGTTCATTGTGGTTTATAATTTTATAAATGCTTAAACTAATGATTTTACATAAAATTATCTACTCTGGTAGACACTTGAATTGGATCGCAACTCTCCCCAGCTCTCTAGTCCCATTACTAATACACCCTTGTCCCTGTGTAAGCTTTTTTTTATAAACTACCCTCATTGATGTCTTTATAGATTTCTATGGTGACGCTCGGTCTTTTTTTTTACATACCTGTTTTTATTTAAAACCCTGCTTGATTCTGTGTCGGGGTTCTTGAAGGGGCAGATGAGGGTGAGGACGCTAAAGGGTTTTCGGGGATGGGGGTGAGGACGCTGAAGGGGTTTGGGGGATGGGGTGAGGACGCTGAAGGGGTTTGGGGGATGGGTTGAGGGCGCTTCGTTCGTTGAATGCAGCTTTTCTTTGATGATATTTGTTCTCATATTTCAAGATTACTCTATACTTTCAGAATTCGTTCACTAACATGTACTTGAAAATGACGGAATTTCTCCATCTTTATAACAAAATCTGGTGTTTGTTTGCATCCAAAGCTGTAAACGAATGCTGCTTACCGTTTGAACAATTACATCATAAAGTAAAACACCGACTTTTAAGCAAATGGTGGATTGTACAAGAAAGTTTAGGCCAGGCTATGGATCAACAACACTGTGAAACAAGCGTGGTAAACTTTAGAAATACTGAATTGAGATGTGAAGATATAAGAAATACCATCTACATGCTGTTACGGAATGCACATTCGTTATTGGCCGAATCATTATCCTGCATTGATTTAATTTAGTTAAACATTGGTACCTCAATGTGTATTTCAAGTCTAACTTTTACAATAACCTTAACATTTAGCTACGTGCAATATTTTAAATATAGTATTTTTCATTGGATGTAGGTTTTATGCTTTCCAAATTTGTTCATATTTTTACCTCATATACTTATACATAATATTATAGGTATTTGCTCTTTTCATCATTATCATTTCTATTTTATCTCATTGTAAAATAATTATATGTAATCCCAGATTGATAACAAAACAACACAATTTTTATCCAGTTTATTGTAACACATTTTATAAATCTATACGTAAATGCATCCAGCACTTCATATAATTAATTCAGAACATTTAAAAGATAAGTATATGTAAAAGTTATTAGATTACGATATTAAGAATGTCACGGTGCCAACACATTCTGGTTGAATGATATTGTATGCTGGCTGAAAACACCGGTCACGTGTCCATCTGTTTGACACTAACCACCTTGCCAATTAACATAATCAAAGGAAGAATAGAGCCATTGTATAGCATTAAGTAATGCACGGGTAATAAAATTTTGTAGTAAACACCCTGTTGTTTCAATTACCAATGAAAAAGACGTCTAATGATTATTTAAAAAGATGAGTTTGTACGCGCTTTTTGGATCATTGATTATCTATTTTAAATATCAAATCACGTATCATGTACTTACATGAAGCACTTTAAATCACGTCAAATTTACTAGTTTCTGGTTGACGTAATTTTAAATGTACAGCTCGAATTCGCAATTCCTTTCATTATCTGTTTACATCATTATTTGAGAGGTCATCAGACCTCTCCATAGTGTTCAGACTGATTGCTGGCGGCATCCATTTTTGCGTATCTGATTTTAGTGAATGAATCTCATTTAAGAAAAAAATCATTAGGAGCAGTTTACAAAAATTGTTTTGCACATGCTCTGTTTCAAAAAACGAATTAACTTAAACGGAAAATTTACATCGAAGTGAACAAATCGGTACATAGACACATCGGAAAATATCATTTACGTTTCTTAGCGCTACGTGAATGTTTCATACCGGTTTAATATTTTTAACTGTATAAATCGATTACTATATTGTTTTCTATTTTACTATTTCATTTTCCTATAAATAATAAAAGTGAACATTATAGCTACAGTATCATCATTATTCATTATATGACCGAGTGAACCGTGTACCGAAATTTTGGCTGCTCCTGGTATGACTTAATAACGCAACGGAGATTTTTTGGCGCAAATGGCACACATTTTAATCAAGTTTGATTTTCATCAAATATTGTGGTTGGAGGCATGTAGCTTTATATACTGTTTATTCCAAACAAATGATATCAACATTTTCTATGTAAATCCTGGACTTAAAATTGTTTGATTAAAATACTTTATGCCCGTTTTGGAAAATGTAGAAGAGATGTTTCCATATACTTACCAAAACATCAACCGAAAATTTGCTTATTGAATTTTACAAGAAACTTTTATTTTGATACTTCTTTTAGCATATATATTAATATATCATTTATTTTAAATTTAGTAATAGAAAGAGCATCGAAACATGAGTGTATCTGGTTTGTATGAGGGGCATAGCCCCCAAGTATTAATCAGATTGCCGAGTGTTTTGATGTTCCCGAAACTATGATAAAGATCCCTTTGTAGAACATGTATCCCTTTATGCGCCAAGAAAAAAAGTCCATTTCTCCGGCATATAATCTTTCAAAACGTTTTAAAAAATGACGTGTAAAACAACCTTTCATTATGATACTATATTCAATATATTAAAAATATTCTATTTTGTTAAATAATTGTAATTTATAAAAAAAATATCCCCAAATATTTTCGAACCACAGCAGCAAAATGACCTCTCGCATGTTTTTTTTTCAAAGAAGCAAACTTGTTGACAAATAAGGGTGTCGATAATTTTTGTATAAAAACATGCAATCTATCACCTGAATTATTTACCACCTAAACAATTACTAACTATTTATCTGTTCAGCGAAATAGCGCAGTGATAGAGTGTTCGCTCCTTTAGTGTACATACCCTGGTTCGAATCCTGGAAAAGGCATTAATTGTTTTAAATTTTTCTTATATTTTTTTGTTTTTTAGATATTTTTCAACTAACAGGATGTCAGTTCCTCTTGAATTCATAAACACAAGGCTGTCTGAGAACATTAAGTTTTACACAGAATCGCATTTACAGACCTAAGTAAAAGTCAGGACAGTCGCGAATGGCTTAAAAATGACCGATTTATTAGCAATGGAAGAAAATGCAAATGAGCTCAAATTGGAAATCTGACAAACTTTAAAAATATATTCTGAAAGTTACAACCACACTTAAAAAATCTGCACTATTGCAGATTTGACCCCCTCCCCCAAAAGCAACACAAACAAAACACGAAAAAAACATTTTTTTATTCTCCTATATCCTATAAAAAGTAAACTATAATACTGGATTAACTTGCACAACCTTTATCTCATAATAGTATGAACAAACTATAACTTCGCTTTTAATCGAATTTGTTTAAGAAAATATTTATGTAATGTACAGAAAGAATATCAAGGTATATAAAATCAAAACAGCTTCATAATACGATTGAAGATTTCTAGAGTTATCATTTTGTCTGATGTTTGCCTTCTTTAAATTATAACATCAGTTTGTAAGTACTTTGTGGCTTTTAGATTGCAGTAATTTTATAAATTTGGCCATTCTAGGCTTTTAACATATGTATTTATAAGCAGTTTTGTGCGACATACAAGAAGCTTCACTTTAAGTCGCTTTACAATTCATAAACAAAAAACGTAAGCTATTTACCGACAATAACAATCAAAGCACAGAAGGCGCTGAATTTGTTTGGGTCTCAGAATGTCAGAAGGGTGAAGGTTGTTTGATTATAAACTATTTTGTTTGTATAGTGTCACCAATGCTGTTTCCAGTGTTAAAACTATAGTAAATTGGCTATAAGACTAATTGCAACACTGATATTCAATTCAATTGTTAAATTTGGCTTAAACAAACAAACAAAACAAAAAAAAATACATGAGTTGCCTGAAGTGGGGTTTGAACTCTGGTCGTCTCGCTTCCAAAGCACTCGATAACAGCCTGAAGAATACCATATTATTCTAAATTAGAGTTTGTAACCCTTATTAATTTCGATATAATTTGTTCTCGGTAAACATGTTGTTTAACACTGAAGTAAATAATCATGGAGCTGAATATAAGCATGTATATCTATAAGAATAACACAATATTTTTTTCTTCGACCAATCGGGAACTATTTTTTCGTTACGAAAATGAATGCTCCTGTCATTTGACAATCTTACGCAGTGATCTCCCCTTTTCGGCGTTAATGTACATATGAAGGGAAGTAACCGCTTCGAGGAGTTTAGACTACTTTCGGCATTTGCAAATAAGAACATCAGGGTCTGAAATTTCGCTACCATTATTTGTTTGGTCTGACGACCCAAACAAATAAAAACCATAAAACATTGTTAAGTTTTTATCTTGGTAATATTTCATTTTTACTGATTACTCAGATGTTAGAGACACGCAGGCTTCATAGCCAGAATTTCTCACAAATTATATTTATTTTTTCATTGTGTTATGCCCATTGACACATCAACATTTTTTACTAGGGGATTTATTTACACCCCTTTTCATGGAATGTCATTTAAGTGCAACATTTAAGATTTTCCGTGTTGGACGATCTTTGTGGTAAAGTATTTATTTTCGTTGTCATTGTATTCTTTCAGTGTATTTTTTAACTACTGGCCACGTGATAATAGATACACGAATTTTAAGTAAAGTAAAGTTATTAAGAATCATCTATTAAACATGAAAAAAAATGGCTCATAAGATACTTGATGATTCATGACTGAGAAAGATTAAGATAACTCTTTTATAGTCACGATGAGAGAAGTTAGCAAGGCCGTATTAATTAGTATATAACATTGATAAGAACATTACATGAGTGCAGTACATTAATTGGTACATTACCTGAATAAGTTCATAACATTAATTAGCACAATAAATTAATAAGTACATTGCGTTAATTAGAACGTTACATTAATTAGTACATTACATTAATTAGTACATTGCATTAATTAGTACATGACATTGATTAGTTCATTACATTAATTAGTACATTACGTTAATCAGTATATTACATAGATAAGTACATTACATTAATTAGTACATTACATAGATTAGTACACTACATTAATAAGTATATTGCATTAATTAGTATATAACATTAATAAGTACATTACATAGATTAGTACATTACATAAAATAGCACATTACATTAATTAGTACATTACATTAATTAGCACATTACATTAATAAGTACATTACATATATTAGTACATTACATTAATGAGTACATTACATTAATTAGTCCATTACATTAATAAGTACATTACATTAATTAGAACATTACATTTATTAGTACATTACATTAATTAGTACATTGCATTAATTAGTACATAACATTGATTAGTACATTACACTTATTAGTACATTACATTAGTTAGTACATTACATTATGTAGTATATATTATTGATTAGAACATTACATATACACTCGAGAGCCACTGTCAGTAACTTGCTTAACGATAACATTTTATTTCATTTCATTTCTATAAATTGAGTTGAGGTCCGGAAGTTGCGTGTAATAAATCTACACTCTTTAACAATATTCGCGGTGCACTTTTGTGATAGCAAATGATAGTTCACTAATTCTAGCATATTTTCGAACATAAGTTAATGCTGAATTTTTGACAAAATAAATCACTATAACGTTTCAGTTAAACAATTTTTTGTGATATAGCATCTTATAGAACTATGTTGTTCAACTGTATATTACACGTGCAAAAATTATAAATATATCTAATTAATTAGGTAATAGTACATTTACCGGTACTTGATATAAAACCTTAATTTATAATATACATGTATACGTATATTTTATTTTTCAATTCAAGGTGATGCTGCTGCTTAAAGATTTTAAATTGTTCCTTCTAAGTAACCTGTACCTAACCCTGGCCCTAACCTAAGTAGCTTGTACCAACCTAAGTAGCCTGTACCAACCTAATTAGCTTGGTCCAACCTAAGAAACTTGTACCAACCTAAGTTATATGTACCAACCTAAGTAATTTGAACCAACATAAGTAACTTGTACCAACGATGATAACCTATAC